GCGTTACTCCACAACATTCAATGAATTCAGTGCAATCAATGCAAAGCAGTGTATGTTCAATGCATGCTATGTGCTCTTGGGAAAAGATTCAACAAAGTGAGATGCACCTCATGTAACTGCCAGTTAACAACATAACATTAACCCTTGCACATGCCTAAATATCAGCAAAACACAAGGCTCAAGAGAATCAAGACGACACTGCAGTAGGCTATCACTGCTTCAATAAACAGTAAATCAATGGGCCTAAATAAAATAATATAAGTGACCAGCAATCCTAACACCATTAAATCAGGACAGGCTTAAAAGTGAAAAAAAAACATGCTTTAATGGCATATAAACTGCCGTTGTCTGTGATGTTGGCGTCAGACACCAACACACATAGGTACTTTACACAGCAGTAGGGGGATATAAGCATCAGACACGGATGCACAGAGGCACTCTTTGCGATGGTATAATTTACACTGGTTGGCGGCAGTTTGTTATGCTGCCAGCAACTACCGTATTACAGAGTGAGTCAGTCCGTATAGTGATGGCAGGGGGGAGTGGTGGATGGGTCAAACACTCTCTGGACTTTCACCTGAGTGCCCGCTGTTCATTTCCCATGAGAATTTTAGGCCAAACCATGATGTTTTTTTCATTGGTATTTGACGAGTTGGAATGAGAAGATGTTGTTCTACCTTAAGAGGAAGAGTCTTTTAAATGATTTGTCAGGCAGTCTGTTCCTCCTCTGAGTCAGCACAATGCTAACAAGGCTGAAGAGCCTTTCCAAGGTCATACTAAATGGCATCACCGTTGTCGGCATAATTATTTGACTAGTAACGGTCATGTGATTACTGAATTTAAGAACAGTAACATGGCATATTACTGTTGGAAAGACAAATGTCATGTAATCACTGCTAGCTAGCCAGTGGGAAACACACAGGGGCTCGCATGGACCAACATGCATGTGCACCCAGACTGTCTACCGTAACAACGAAGAGAGAGGCTCGGACTACAACACACATGACCTCATTCTCTACTCAGGACGCCATTACTCCACTATATCTTTACACAGTAAAGGTTTGCTGCTATATTAATGCTCTGAATGTTGTATAGAGCTCCTTGAAGAATTGAAATATTAACTGGTGCCTAAATAACAGTGGGAGATGGTTCAAAGAGATAGGTCACAGTGGGTGTATTGACATTTTCAGAAATTCTGAATTGAGGCTTAGCAGCAGTTCATTCAGGAAGACTTTCATGCATCTCATTCATTCTCTCTCTTCCTCTCTCTTTGATCCAACTAATCAGGTGAGTATGGGTGTTCTTTCTCTCAGTAAACTTATTGGATTTTTCCACAATCCCTGTGAGCCAATCATATCGTTGCTGTCACACCTTTAAACTGTTCTGCTCTCTGCTGCCGATAGTTGTCATTTCAGTGTGAAATCAATGCAACCTCCTCCACCCCATTTGCTTTCAGTTCTCATTACATCCAGCATGCAGGGTTCCTTCCACCCTAGCCCACATCACATCCACCCAGATCGTCAAGCATTCCTCTTCATCCCTTCACCACCACCACCACTGGTGTTGAGACTCCATCAGGAGATATTCCTGTCTCTAACCCCTGAAAAATTGATGAAGTTACAATAAGGTCTGATCACAAAAGCCTCTTCACATTTATACATTTTATTGTGCACCTTATCAATACATTCATTTCACTCTTCAGTCTCTCACAATTGAAATACCTTTTCCCACCGCAGTCAGAGAAAGTATGATGCTGTCAGTGTGAAATAAATGCTTCTCTACCAGGTTTTTAATAGCATCATTGTGTTGCATGGACACGGGTCAGGAGAAAGTAACAAGATTTCCACATCTCCTGAATGGCAAATATGCCTGAATGTGCAGCCTGTTGCCATCTTAATCTGCCTTTTCGTTCTCATTTCCTCTAGCTCTGAAGGTTTAACTTTATTTTGGAAAAGGTCAAGTTCATGGCTTTCTTGGTGAATGAGAGATATACTGAGGAATTACAGGCCATTATCACCTGAAATGCAGAGGAAAGACACAGATGCAGAGTTGATAAGCTTCAGGCAGAGTGGATGCAGTGTGGTTACAATAGAAACAGTATCAGTACGGATCGGAATAAATACATGGGTACATGTTTACCCATACACACAAAAAGAAACAGGATTGGAGATACACATGCAAACACACAATGTAAATAAAACATTCATATAATATTAACGGACACAGATGCACATGCATACAGTAAGTACATGCACACAACCATACACACACAGATGCACATGCCGAAACACATGAACATGAGAAGGCACACACAGACACACATGCCCATACTGAGGCACTCTTACACACGCACACAGGGCTTTTTATGAATCTAATTTCCATTCAGCCTCATTGTCACAAGAAGCTGTCACCACTGATGAATAGGGTTCCTTCACACATGAATGTTGAGAGAAAGAGAAGCCACAGATTTAAAGACATAAAACTCTCAAAACCCATATTTCCCCAGGAGAGTCACCACAGTATAAAGTCTGGCAAGAGCAGATAAAAACCTAACATAGCCTACAGTATGCACAGTTAAGTTATTGGCCGCTTTTAGCAAAGGCTTTACGACTCAGACTTTATCCAAAGGCCAATGAACCATTTACCAGGACTGTAGTGATGGGTTATTTCACTCACTGAGCTACACAGAGCTTCCACAGAGCAGCCCAGTCAGCAGGAGAAAATTTTGGCTTTGTACCTTTCTGCAAACCAGTTGTTGAAGCTGTACATTTTATAAAAAACATATCAGCATTTCCAAAGCAACTTCATATATAAGCTGACTTTGTCGTCAGGAGGTGGCGTAGAGGTGGATAACCTGACACCTCAGCCAGACACCTGCCAGGCTGCAGCTACAATCACTGTGTTTCCAGTGGCTTTGTGGCTGCAAATGTGGCTGTTTAGTGACCTGTCGCTGTTTTCCCTCTGGGGATAGTGACTGGAAAAGCAGTTTTTTTTTTCACAGAGACATCGCTTAAGAAATTTCGTTTGTGTGTGTGTGTGGTGGTGGTGGGGGGGGGGGGGTTCGTGAGATATCACACCAAAATCTAATCAGTTCATCACTGAGTCAGTCCAAGTGAATGTTTGTGCCAATTTGTAGAAATTCCCTTTAGGTATTAGGATATCATGTTCACAAGATTGAGACAGATGAGGTCACATAGAAATTGACCTTTGATCTAGGCCACCAAAATCTAATCAGTTTATTGTTGTGTCCAAATTTGCAGAAATACCATATAGCAAGAAATAACAAGCTGTTCTTGAGATACTGAGTTCACAAGAATGAGATGGGTGCAAGGTCACAACAACCTTGACCTTTGACCCCTGACTACCAAAATCTTATCAGTTCATCCTAGAGTCCAAATGAACGTTTGAGCCAAATTTGAAAAAAATTCCCTCACAGTGTTCTTGAGATTTCATGTTCACAAGAATGAAACAGGCAAGGCCACAGTGACCTTGACCTATGACCATCGAAAACTAATCAGTTCATCATTTAGTCCAAGTCCAACATTTGTGCCAATTTTGAAGACATTTCTTCAAAAAACAACTTCTGCAACAACAGCAGCTCAAGACTGAAAACTGATAAGTATTTCTGAATGAACAGCATATTGAAACATTGAGAAATAGCTGATTTACAGTAAGTTGTGTAAAACAGACTAACACAGCTATTTCCATTCACAATCAGACACAAAACCAGGTGCTTTTAATTACATGGACATGAATCATTAAAAGGGGACTTTTTTTTTGATTGATTTTGTTCAATGTGGACACAGAACAACACAGAGGAGGTTGTATAAATTAGAACAGGACTGTATTATTTTCCCTTTTGTGCCTTTTTTTTTTTTACTGTATTTGTACATTTTATTTTTACACACTCATTTGGAACCAGAAGGCCATGTATGATGGATTTCTTTTGTTGATCACTGGCAGCGATTTCATGTTTCTAATAAAGCTTTACTGCAGCCATTCTGTCACTTATAATTTCTGTACAAAAATGTAGAGAGGTTCACAGGAAAAGGAAACTAAACTATAAAAATAATGGACTTGATATTGTCTACTGTATGCAGGTAGAACTGACACATGAAAGGTAATGCAGTTTTTGTCATCCCATCAACCATTGTATTTCAAAAGTGGCTGTGCCAGAATATATGTTCCTCTTGGACAGAAATCATGTGCTTGTGTTTGGTAGGAATGATTTGATATTGTGTCCAGTTTGCCTTGTTTTGATAGAGTTAGTGTATGCAGAGTAAAAAATGTGGTTTTGAGCTGAAAATTAACAATTTGGTTCATTGTGTGATGTAGGTGTGTTACTGTGTTAAGGGTTTAGAAAAAAGGATCTCAAGTACAGGTGAATGATTGTTTAAAAAAAGTAGTTTAATTTTGAGCACTTGCAATCGCTTTGCTCTCTACAAAAAAGAAGACAAACAATAAAGGCTGCTGAAGCAAACTGCAGCATTTCTGATTAATTTATGTGACATTTACTGTAAGATAGCACAATATATGCAATAAACAAGAGTTCTTTTTGTGGTAATAGAATCTTGATTTATGCTAAATAAATCCATTAATAAAAGATACTAGTGATGTATATTTTAATGTAACTCAGAGGAATGTGTGTTACCAATTGCAAAAAGATGTAAAGCAAGCATAAAGAAAACTTTTTCATTCATTTTTTCGATCAAAGAGCACTCAAATTTTATCATTTTAACCAGAGAAGCGCAGTAATGTTACAGCGTGTTCTCTACCACCTGTAGCAAATTGAAAATGCCTAGTTTTTCTGCATCATCATTTCACTTTACTTTCGCATCCACTGTAACATTTGAGCATAATATCCATGTGTTTTGGCGTCAATGATTCAGGAGAAATGGCAAAAAATGTGATCAATCATCAAGTGAATGGTCTAACTGTGCGCTGCACGGAGAGGCATGTCTTCTGTACTTTTACAACAGACAGTGAAGTCCGCAGCTTACCTGTCCAGAGCGATGGCAGTCATTGAGTAGATGCTGGCAAACACAGCCGCGATCGGAAAGAAGTTGTGGAAGCGGCAGTAGACCAGTCCGAAGTACCACTCGTTGTGCACGGCGTAGGTGAAGTTGATCACCGTGTTGAAGGCGGACATGGAGGCTTCGGCGAACGCCAGGTTCAGCAGAAAATAATTGGTGACGGTCCTCATGCGTTTGTGCGCCATAATAATCCAGATCACTGTCAGATTGCCTACCACGGACACGATAACTATACAGCTGTACGCAATGGCCCAGAGCACAATTCTCCAGACTGGCTGCACAAACTGGTTCCAGTACTCGGTCCCGTTATTAGTGTCGTTGGAGCCGGTGGTCCAATTTGACGCATTGGTGATATTATATAAAGGATCCATTTTGCTGTTTAAGATCGGAAATCACTCTAAAACTACTGGATATAATCCTAAATCATTTTGTAACAAAGTTAAAGATCCTAGTGCCAAACGCAAACTGAACAAAGGAAAGCTTCAGCAAAGCCCGACCGCCGCACAATCTGTTGGAATGTTCACCTAAAGACTCCGCTGTCTTGGAAATCATAAACATAGGAATACAGTTTAAGTCATTCACGTGGACTTAACGATAACAATCTATCATTATCTATTACTCTTTAGCACTTTTCGCTGTGCGTAAAAAAGAAAACGCGCCTTTTACGCGCATTGCAGCAGCGAAACAAGTCTGTGTTCCTCTAACTGCTCACACATATCTGAGCTCCCTGCTCCCTCAGCCGCTCTGAGCTCTCTCCTGCTTCTTTGCTTGAACTGAGCGGCTGCACACCAGCTTATGAAACGAGCCACTGCGCACACACCAATAGGCAGTCTCTGTAATTATGATTATGGATGAGCCCAGGTAAGTTATTTATTCCCTCCGACTCAGACCGCACGGGCAAGCCAACGAGATTACCATGCCTAAATACCTCTTATTTGATTAAATTTGCTAATAATTCCTCTGTGGGCAATAGCAAACAGCACACAAGCAGGAGAATAAATGAACAGGCACATGAGTAATAATACAACTACCAATATTAATGACACTACTACTAATCGCAATAGTAATGGTTGTAGTTGTGTATTGGTAGCCAACACTGCAGTGGCATCACTGATAACATTAATCTTGAACAGATTTCATCTCTACATTCAATTTAGGAAAATTTTTTCCCTGAATGTGGTGTGTACTTAATGTGGTAAGGTGCCACAGTGTTTGAATATCCATCTGCCCACTCACTGCCCCCTCTTGTGGACTCACAGTCTGGACTGTGTTGCCTATTCAGAGATCAGCTGCTTCTGAGGATGTGAACATACTGATGACAGAGACTGAAGTATTGCAACATGCTTTAGGAGGCTTCTACACACATTGCACAGGAAGAGAAATGTGTATAGAAGTGAAAGTCTCTATGTTGTTATAATACTCTCTGCAATGTAATCATTCAGTACTAATGAAATGACTAAAGAGAAAACAACATAATGTAAAGTATGATAATGTAGCTTTACAACATTTAATGACAAGGAGACAGGCGTAGCCCACTGTACACATTGTCCTGTCGCCTGCACACTGAGCATTACTGCATCACTGCAACAGAAATTCTTTACAATAGTAGTACAATAGATTTAGTAGCAGCCCAGTTGCCACAAGAAAATGTTGGTATTGTACATTTCTACAAACCATGAATACATTTACCCTTAGTACCTCTGCACCTCTGTGTCGTATATAAGCTGATTTTGTCATCTGGAGGTGGAAGAGATGGGGATGGCATGACACCAAGGTTAGATCTCTGTTAAGCTGCAGACCACTGTTTGAGAGAAACAAACAGCGCAACAGGTTGTGTTTCAGCAACACATTCTCACTCCAATCTCGTCACATATTGACGTTTTGGTCACGGACTTTCCACTTCCACATACAAAATGGAAGATACCCTGGGTGCTTTGGTTGTTGACGTTCTGGGACACTGTGTCAAGTTCTCTTCTTTCAAGATACACTTCCTTTTTCACAGGAAATTTAACGTTCACATTCAGTCTCTTTCAAAATAAACACACTACGTTAATACAACACTGCAAATTAACTTTGTTTTTTCCTAAACCTAACCACATGTTAACCACAGTGTTGTTAATAAAGTTTTAATGTATCTGCTACATAATAACATGCAAATGTAAAGTATTCATAGTTTGCAGAAATGTAAAGTGCCAACATTTTTGCTGGTATTGGTTTGTCGGAAAACTGCACTCCTTTATTGTTTATTATACCAAGCTTCATTTATTGTACCAGATCCTTGTTCGTGGATCCATTCTTCATTTCTGCGTTTGCAGGAGTCTACCCAGAGGAGCAATGTGAGAGGATGAATGAGCTCATTAGGAGGGCTTCTCCCAGGCTTGCCACTGGACTCTGAAAAAGTGAAAAGCTGAATGAACCTTTATTCACGGACTTTCTCTGTATGACTGTCGGATAAAGGAGCTTTAATAGCCACAGGTTTTGGTGCTGTGAATCTAAGAGGTGTGATTTTAATTGATACTGTGGTATGATATTTTAACCCTCTGTCACTTATTAAGCGAAGCCAGCAGCATGGCTCTATTAATGACAATATCAATCTGATGGTCAGTAACTATGGATGGATTGCAGCGAAATTTGTGCAGATATTCATAGTTCCAAAGAATGAATCCCTATGTCTTTGGGTCAGTCAGCAGGAACTTGGCTTGGGAACTGGAAGGTGAGCGGTTCAAGTCCCACACAGCCTACGTATGTGGACTGGTAGCTTAGGAGGTGCCAGTTCACCTCCAGAGCACTGCCCAGGTGTCCTTGAGGAACAGAACCCTGAAACTTTTTACAGGGCACTTGACCATAGGCAGCCCCATCACTCTAACATCAGTAAAAGAAAAGGAAGAAGAAGAAGTGTACTTCCCATAAAAAAAGAAAAAGTATAGAAAGACCCTGGTGTGCAGGCAAAATCAAAACTGTCCATACAGGCTGTAGTCCTTTGCATGTTCCAGGCAAACCAAATCACTCAAGATGTTTGATGCACTTGTAATGTGTCTGTATTTATTTAAATGGTGCCACTGGTGTGCAAATGTGTACGTACTTCTGCCTACGCGAGGTTGCAAGCACCATGTTAAGTAGGTCGAATCTAACCTGAACCGGAACATCATTTGTAAGTATTTGTCCAAACCCTGCCCAACTTATCGGGTCCTGTTTGGCCCAGGTTGGGTATCCACACTCTAATGTACATGGCCTTCAACCCCATGTGTCACTGAGAGTACTTTAGAAATTATAAAAGGATTCTCTGAGCACCTTGTATCTCCCACATGTAAACAGACTCTATCTAGTCTATTTAATGCAGAATTTTTCATACCAATCTTAGCCACACAGGCAACCTGCTGATTACCAGAACAGTATTCTCATGAATACATGAATAAAGGTGTTATATTACCGAGTTGTATAGTTAAAGCCACAATAACTAAGAACTACTATGCAGTTGGAAAAATATACTGTAAACTCACTGGTAGAAACACTGCAGCCTCACAATAAACCTACACAGAGAACCAGACACATTGTGGGGCTCTATTGAAATAATATAGGAAAACAAAACAGTTTTTCCTGAGGTTTTCATTTCTTTTTTTTTGTAATGCACTGAGGCCATAAAGTACTACATCAAACTCACAGGGCACAGAAATTCATGCAATTCACATCTCTGACACTTCACTCTTCTCTGCTTCTCTCTTCACAGCTCTCATATTCATTGCACTGCAGGCTATTGCTTTCATGCAGGCTTGTTCTGTGTTTATGCCAGAGTACCCAGAACCTCATGTACCTCTTATAGGATCCTTCTGTGGGCTGCCATCTTGACTAAGGTCCACTGGAAAAAGGAGGAAGCAATTTTATGTACTAATGTAATTATCATTTCTCTATCTGTCCGACTCTTCGGTCCTGAGAATATATAGATATAGATATATATTATATATCTAGACAACTCTTGACATTTCACATGATCTTCCTTTTTCTTTAGTGTTACCAAGTCAAAATTACCCCACTACACCCCACCAAGGCTGACCGCCAATCTTTTCATTAATGATAGCCTGTTACGGCCGCCACTCTTTCCACCTTCATTATGTGTGTGTGTGTGTGTGCGTGTGTGTGTGTGTGTGTGTGTGTAAGGCCGTGTTTAGACGACAACGGTTTCTCTAAAAACGGAAAAGTCTGTCCTTTGCGTTTTAAAAAACGTATGCGTTTATATGACGACGTTATTGAAACGATCCCTACTGGAAACGCTGTAGTATGCATGCCAGGCCAGTGGGTGGCAGTGTAAATTTGCAAAGCAAGACCACGGCATGATGCCATGTGCCTGCGCTGAAGCGCCTTCCTCTACAACGTGGTGATTGCAAACCAAAACAAAGAAGACACAATGGCGAAAGCATGCAAAGATAACTTTGTCTGGATGGACGACAAGGTGGAGTTGCTACAGTAACACTTCACTTCAAATCAACAGGGTGAGCAGCATAAACAGAGCTCGGCATTGTTGTTGTGACGGTCGGTGTGCCTAATGACTGGAACTGTAATGCCCATGTGCGAAAAGTCTCCGTTTTCAGAGGAACTGCATATTGCAAGTTTACATGACAACGGAGACGCTGCCGTTTCCAAAAAGTTGCACTCTGGAACCCGTTTTCAAAACGCCGCTGTCATGTAAACGGTCAGCCAAAATGCACTTTTAGTTTACCGTTTTCAGTTGAAATCATTGTCGTATAAACGGGGCCTAATTTTTCCCTCTGTCTGCCATGCTGCCTGCACTACCACTGGACTCAGAAGCTCCACCCCCTCTGTTTTGATTGGTGCGGCGTCTGCTGCTTCTGACTGCCCAGTCCACAGCTCACCTGGGTTCCTGATTGGTGTGGCAAGCGTGCAGTGGGCCAATCCCAGCCACTCAATCAAGGCCAGCATCTATAAGTGCCCTGCCAGCCTGTCAGACTGGGTGGCTGACTGTTGGTGGCAGCTCACCGCTTTGTTAAAGAACTGTGTGGCCAGGTTGTTAGAAATTGTAAAACTTTTAGACTGATTCCACACATTTTCATCCTCACGTAGATAATAATCTGTATTAGAGTCACTAGGTGCAGGGGTGCTGTTTTGTTGTGGTTTGTTTTAAAAGATGGATTAGATAATCAGAATTTGTTTTCCTTTTATTTTGATTAGTCAGAGTGTAGGTTAAGCTCCTAGTGAGTCCTCTTTTTTGTTATATTTTGTTTTTGAGTTAAACAGCACCCACCAGTCCTCTTCCTTGGTTTGTTGTTAACCAGTTTTCCTTAATTTAAGTTACAATAAACTGCTTTACCTTTTAACATCTGGGTTTTTGTGTTGCTTCCCTTTCCCCTGCGAGCTGGGTTGTAACATAGCCGTAGGTCACAGGATTTGTAACCCTTAATACAGATAAAATATTGTGGAATTATGTGTGACAGAAATATCTATAGGCTTATGCACCACGCTGGGGGTTGTGACAGTAATTTCATCCTCTGTAGATATCAAGAACCAGGTGTTGGATGTTCTTTCTTCTGTACATTTCTGAAACTGTCCACTTTTCATTTACTGTCAGTGAGCTGCGTTCTACCCAGGTCATCACTTCATCAGTTCATTCTCCAAAGACAATACCATTATAGATGGCGTCCAGTCATGGCGATTCTATTCCTGTGGCACAAGGACATTGCTTCTCTCTTGGGAAAAGCTTCTATCCACTC